AATTATGTCATTTTCAGGAAAACTGATAGAACTAGAGACCACCATATAAGTGAAATAAGCCAAACTGAGAAAGACAAATATCACATGTTCTCTCATATGTGGAATCTAGACCCAAAAAAAAGAGAAAGAATGACATGAGTGTAAAGTGGGGACCGTTTAGGGTGGAAACCACTGAAAGGGTGGGGAGTGAAATGGGAGGTGATGTGGGAGTGAATACCATCGAAGCTCTCCAGACGCATGTATGCAAACAGAATATTGAAACCCATTACAAATTGTTTTAAAAAGTGGGGAGGATAAGAAAGAGGATGAATTTGACCAAAATAGATTATATACATGTATATGGAAATATCACAATGAAATCCCCATGCACGATTAATATATAAATAAATAAATTTAAAAAATGAATATGGAGTCTGGCACAGGCAGCAGCCTGCTGTTCCAAGAGATGAACACTAGGAGGCACACCTTCTCTTGGGCTTCGGAGTCCTGAAGCCAAGCCACATATGTGAGTTTGGGCAAAGTGACTCCAATCGCCCTTTTCAGCAGCAGCCATTCCAAAGGCATTTACAAGGCTAACAGAAGCACGCTGTGCCATACAGTCCTTTATCCTTGTCAGCAAAGCACATCCACAATGCCTCTTCTGTGCACTTGTGCTGCACAGCAGCCACCTCCATCCCCCCAGACACAAGCCCACATCAACCACAGCACATTTACAGGGGTGTGGGAAGCAGGTCTAATCACACTTGATTGGTTGAAATAACATGCCAGCATTTAAAGATTTGCCCATGGCAATATTGTGTTAGGTTTTTTTCCTTTCATATTCTGGAACATTTTTGAAGTTCTCTTAAGCAAACACTGGTTGTCGTGTTCATGGCATGGTGGCTAGAACGAGCCAGCCTTTTCTACCTCAGTAACACTAAACAAGTCTTGGGGTGCCGCTGGCTTTCGATGTAGACACCAACTGGGGGCCCTCCCAGGACTCATTTTCCTCCTTGGTGGATCTGCTCAAAGCCTGGCTTGGAACTCCAACTGAAGTCATTCCTTCCTAGTGGCCAAGAGGACCAGCTGGGGGGACACGTGGATGGCGCTCAGAACACCTCACAGCATGGATTGCGTGTGTGGTGAAACCTGACTACTAGTTGTACCTGCTCTGGTCAGAATAAAGACAGGCAAGGAAGGATGGAGGTTATGAAAGTCAGAACAAGAACAGCGGGAAAACTGAAAAGGGCTGGGGTTGCCATGGAAAAGATGAAAGAGCAACAAAACCTCTGGATGTCATAGTGTGTTCTTACACTCCAAAGTGAAGGACCCTACAATGTGCTTGAAGTCATTCTGAGAGCTGGGTTGATTGGAGAGCAAGGGTTTGCAAAGAAGTCTTCCAGAAAAGAGCCCAATGGGGCTGGGGACATGGCTCAAGTGGGTGAGTGCCTGTCTAGCAGGCACAAGGCCCTGAGTTCAAATCCCAGTGCCAATGATATATAACCCCCATGGACAAGAGAAGGTGGGAAGATGCCTGGCGCAATGCCTTGGTCACTCAGCTCCCAGCTTCCTGCTAGGTATTCAACAAAGCAGCCTAAAAAGTGGCTCATCTGTTGGCCTGGAGGATACAAAGTAAGGTGTTCACTTCACAAATGAGGAAACTGAGGCAATGAAGTTAAATGTGGGAGGTGGCAGAGCTGAGATTCAAGTCTGTGTTCTGGCTTAGGCGCGAGGTGGGAATTTACTTGGCTCAAGACCACTGCCCCTTAGCTCTGCAGGGCAGGTGTGTCACTCAGCCCATCCTCACCCTGGCTTCCCACCAGCTCAGGGTGCCGTCCAACAGTGCGGCCTCCCCAGGCTGCTGACGGCTCACGCTCCACCTTGCCAGCTCTCTGCCATTTTCACCCACCTTGAGCCACAGACCTGGACTGTGCTCCTACTTCTGTCCAGAACCTTTTTCCCTCGGCTTCCATCCTTCATCGTGGAAAGGGTCCCCAGGAATCATCTCAGCACACTTAGTCATCCTGCATGGGCCCCTCTTCTGGGACAGTCACTGGCTCCTAGCAGAGCCTATCTCTTTTCTACCTGCTCCTGGGGGCTTTGTCATCCTTGGGACTTTGAACACCTTCTGGGCTGAAGCTGCGACATTTATTCAACCCTGCACAACTTTCTGTGTCCCACTCTCTGCTCCACCCTCCATGCAGGGTTCTAACAGTTGCCTCAAACTCACACCCCAAATGCAACTGAGTGTTCCCCCTGATCTGTTTCCCCCATCATGTCATCTCCATGAAATGGAACCTCTGTCCTCAACCCTTCCAGCTCTTCAAATCCCATACCTTAGAGTCCCCTGCCCCACATCCACCCCAACACTCAACACTATAAGCTCTGCTCTCAAATGACCAAGATGAGACTCAGTCCCTGTATCAATAGCTACCACACGGACAGACACCCCACCCTGGCCCCTCAAATTCACTGCAGCAGCCTTCCTACTGGGCTCCACTGCCCTCAGCCTCAGGCTGCCCTCAAGCCCAGCCAACAGAGGGCTCCTCACCTCTGAGTGGGACCACACCCTCCTCAGCTCAGAGCATTCCACTGGTTCCAGAAGGCCAAAGTGACCCTACACAATCTGCCCCTCGGCCCAGTCTCTTTCTGACCTTGACTCCTATTCTTCCCCCTTGCTAACTCCACCACATCAGACCTGGAGTCATTTCTCAGACTGTGTCTCAGGGCCTTTGCACCTGCCCCTCTATTTGTCTATAATGCTCCTTCCCACACCTGTCTGCTTGCCTTACTCCCCCAGCCCCGCCAATCTTCAGCCAAATGTCACCTTCTCAGCAGGGTCTTCCCTGACCACCTTAACATTCCACTCCCATGTCCCACAGCCCCATCTGCCTCTGCTTAGTTTTCTCTGAGACATCTAACATCCTGTCATTTACTGTTTCTTTCTCTCCACTGCAGCAGAGGCCCTTGAGGACAGAATTTCGGAAGCTTTGCTCTCTGCTGCACTCTACTGCCTAGCCCAGCATCTGCTATGTGGTACTTGTCAAAAGGAAGAAATGGTTTTTCATACATCCCCACCCTACTGACCAAGCAGTCCTCTGGAGTGAGGTGAGGCTGACTCACTTTGTACCCATGTGGTGTGGTAGTAAGAGGTTCTTAATAATTTTGTTTCTGGATTCTACTCTCTTAGCAGACCCTCAACCAGAGTGCTGGCTTTGGTCATTATTTGATAGGCTCCACCTTCTACATATGGGAGGCTGTGGCCACCATACAACTAGGGAAGCCAACACCAGGTGCTTCTCACACCGGCTTAGATCAGCAGCATGTGCTTCCTGCAAGCCTGCTGTGTGAGACCACAGGGCCAAGGAGCACTTACTGGCCTTTTCAGAATCAACAATGCTTTCGAGGTCTTCAGCTGCACTGCAATCAAGAGTGTGCCACATGGCTGGGTGTGTTTAAGCACGTAGGGGAGTCTGCAAGAGATGGTGGCATGGAAAAGCACAAAACAGGAAGACAGAACTGGCCCCTGGTGCAAGCTACGCTGAGCCACTTCGCATTGAAGTTGCCTGGGTAACTTCTATGTAGGCCTCATTTCTGCGTGTGCAAATGAACTTGGAGGAGCTGACTTGCATTTCCAGTCTCAGATACTATGAAATAGAGATGGACAGATGAATGGCTGAATTAAGGGATGTTCAGTGTGAGCTTGGAGGTAGCGGAAGATTCAAAACCACCTGCATCCTGCTCTGCTGGGCACCCCAGGAGCCCCCCAGAGGCCAGGGTACCAGTGTCAACAAATTGCATCTGTAGGGAATGTCCTACAGTAAGTCCTTAACTCCTTGCAGTACAATTTCAAGTTTTTAAACTTGAAGATTTTTTAAAGTTTTAAGTTTTTAAATTTAAAAATAAGACCCCTTTCTTTCCCTAAATAAAATGTTATGCCGTATTCAAAGCTGAGTGTCCTTATTCACAGGGCTGTAAGAGGCAAGGCCCTGGTCTGCTTGCTCTCCGAAACCCATGTATTATTTGCTGCTGAGCCACAAGCTACTCCCCAGGCGTGCTTTGAGCTCAATCCATTCCTGGAGCTCCTGTTAAGGATGGACTCTTGAGGACTGTTATGGTTTGGATATAGTTTGACTGTATCCCTGAAGGTAGAAGATTGGTCCTCGTCTGAGGTCCCATGGTCCCACCTACAAGGTGGCGGCCCAGGAAAACCAGTGGTGTAGTTCTAGTTCAAAAGCAAAGGCCTGAGAACCACAGCAGCCAAAGTGTTCCAGCCATCATGGAAACAGCCAAACAGCAAAAGCAGATGGATGTCCCAAGGTAAAGGGAAAAATGAGTTCAGCCTTCTTTTTGTCTTATTTGGGTCCTCTATGATTGGTTGATGATGGACCTTTACCAACTTTGATTCAAATGCTAATCTCTTCAAGAAACATTCACAGGTGAGGCATACCTAAAAATAAAGGTTTACCAGCTACCTGGGTAGCCCTAACCCAGCCAAGGGGGCATGTAAGATGAACCATCAAGGTGGATGTGATCAGTGTACTTTGCACCTCCCCTCGTGGCAAGGCTGACCATTTTTCTACTAATGCCCTTTCCACTTTGAGGAACATTTGAGTCAACAGTTGCTGATGTAACAGGAAGATTACCAAGCTCCCTCTGTGGCCATCTCTGATAGGTCCTGATTCAATTGCTGTGGTTCTGTCAATCCAACTATGCCAATCTATTAGGGCCAAGCCTTTGCTAATGCTGTACGGCACAGAGAAGTAGAGAACTCTTAGCATCCAGCGGTGGAGACACAAGCATCTTCCAGGCTCCATGCAGAGTCACTCCAAGTGCTCCAGACAGTACAGACAACCCTGGAGCAAAGCAGCAGGCATAATCTAGAGCAAGGACCTTTAAATCTAATGTGTATTTAGGGCAGGGAGCAGATATGGTCGGAGCTGCATGAGAAGGTTCTAATTATAGGCTTCTTCTGACCTCAGGGGCTCGGGAAAAGGAAGTCTGGGCAATAAAATCCTGTCTATGATGTGGAAGGAAAGTGACAGAGGGAAGACCAGCGGGAGCAATGTTAGAGCATCCCAGACAAGCAAAGAGTGCAGCGAGCACTTTTTGACAGTGTGTGAAAAAAGGTGGGTCCAGTCATTAGTACTGCAGCTCTGAAAGCCCCAATCACAGAGAAAAGGGCCGCAGTACAGCAAAGTGACTAAGGCTGGGCCTTCCAAGTCACACAGAGCTCTTGCCTCAGTAGCTTGATGCACTAAAAACTGAAATCCTGAGCAGGAGACTCACACCTCTGAGCCTGTTTCCCATCTGTAAAGGGTACAAGAGCACCTTCCTACAGGGTCTTGTAAAGACAAAGTTAGTCAATGTGCGCCAAAGCCCTGCATCTGACACGTGCTTCAGGAAACACTCAGGTTGCTATTACTGATGACAGACTGCAATTACTCAGGATGGAAATAAGCTTTGGGAAGGCTTTTGGTGAGGATTAACACAAAACAGAAGTTTCTATATAATAACAGATGCGTAAGATCAGATACACGCATAAGAAGCAACATTTCCTTGAACTTTACCGAATTCACAGGGGCTGCGAACAGTGATGAACCAGTCTATCTATACCCCAAATATTTATGAGTTGGTCCAGAGAGGAGGCATCCTTGTGTGCTGTGTGGGAATCCAGGCAGCAGTGCTGAATGGACAAGGCACTGGGCCACCCAGAGCAAGCTTTAATGTAGTGTGGGTCTGCCTCCCTCAAGACCAAGGCTGATGGGTCAAATCAGAACAAGCTGGAAAACAACTGGAGAGTCCACAGCACTAAAACGTAGCCCTCAGCATTAGCCACACCCAGGCTAATGGTGTGGTACCACCAAAGCTTCCTCAGCAGCTGGTTCGTTACCTCCTTCACCGCAGACTGCATCTACTCATCCCTCCTTTAAAGAATCTCAAGACTGTCACACAGCAAGCAGGCACATGTGGGTATTAACACCTTTTAATGTTTCACATTGCTTTCTTATTTTAGGAAATTTGTAACAAAAATACATGGAACTGAAACATGAGTTACAGTACATTAGGCAATTACAGAATCTAAACAAGACAAGTCTATGAAGTATAACCCTCTTGTGAGGGCAGAACATTCCATTCTGCTAAGAGGGAATCATGACATGATTAGGTACGATTACCTCATACTGCCTGTTGTTCTAATCCCAGAGACTGGCAGACTTGGGGAGGGGAACTAAAAAATAAATAAATAAAGCAGAATGCAGCCCATGCCCTAGTTCCCCTCTCCTCCTCATTTTCTTCATCACAGAAGGGACAAGACGTGAGGCAGGTTCGGGTGTTGTGCTGACTGAATGCCAGGCAGACACGTGGGTTCCCTGAGGTGACCCAGAAATGTACTTTGAAACAACCGCTCAGTGCAGCAGGTAAGAAACATGGGGAAAGGGCAGAGAATGAAAAAATTGCTACAAGAACTGCTGGCAGGAGGCCCAAGTCCACAGCCCAAATTGTACAGTGGGAAAGACAGCTTGAATGCAACCCTTAGCCAGCATATTTACACAGACACACCTAACTGAGGAGCCAATTCCTCTTTGTAAAAATACAAGTTGGAATCCATAAACACTTCAGCCAAAATTCCACCAGCTTCATTCAACAGAAGAAATCAAAACCACTTGGTTTTTAAATGAAAATCCTTCACATCCACCTGTGTTCAAAAATAATAATAATTTACGGTATTAGCTTTTTTAAAAAAGTAATTATCACAAAAGAGTTTAATTTTAAGTGTGGAAAGACTCACTTTCCTATGAATGCAGTTGTTAGGAAGGGATAGATACACAACACAAACAGAAAGTAAAGCTGTGGTATTTGGTGGTTTTAGTGTAAAGCTAAACCCACTAAACAAAGACCAAAAGTTCTAAGCAAATCAAGCATTTTCCATTGCAAATGAGCTCAGCTCTCTTGCATCAAGGCACAGTAAACTAAATCAAATGGGACACTTGCTGTCTCTGTGACAAATGGTGGTAGGCATAGGCTACACTGGCTAGCCTCACACAATGGCTATTACTTGAAGTAGGGCTGCCAGGTGGCCACTTCCCTTCCTGACCAGGATTTGAATGGTGGTAACGATCAGTGGTGTAGCAGGTGGGGCAAACTTGGTAAGTCAGTCATAATTCTACTTGTTCTGCATAAGACTTATTAAAGGAGACAATGCTAAGGCGGTTTCAGTCATGGGGTAATTCTCTTCCACAGACAAATCTCTGCAGCTCCTGAGAGCCAAATCGTCCCTTCCATGCAGCAAGACATTGAAGAATTTGGAAATTTCAGACGTGACTTGCTTTTTGGACAAAAAAATGATTGCTATTATTCTTCATCTCTAGTATTGTTAACCCCATGGAGAAAACAGAAAAATATAATCAACGTTAGACAGCCGAGAATGAAAGAAAGAAAACCCACGGAGGAAAGAAAGATCACGCTAAACTGATTCGACAGATGTTCCGTCACAGCCCACCACTTGGGCTTGAGGCTGGTGACTTCATGGACGCATCCCTCAGGTGCACTGCCGAGGATCAGCTTGAGTCCGTTATGGTGACATCACCCCAGTGTGACACTGCCTGCCTTCCACTCACCACCTCCTACCCACAATATCCAAGGGGTCAGGGGATGGTATGCACAGCACCGTGAACAGGTGCTGAGAGCCCAAGAGCCTTCTTGAAAACTTTGCCTTGGACGTAGGCAAGGAAACAAGTCAGTGGTTTGGAGTCTTGGCAACAGCATCCACACTGGGGGCTTAACCTCAGCAGCCGGACTGGAGGATGTCTCCCCCAGAGCGCTTGGTCACCGACAGCGTGGTGAATATCTGCAGAGGGAGAGGGAGGAAGCACAACACTGTGAGAGCCCCGCCAAATCACATACATAAAAGTGACTTAGACAACTACTTCAGATAAGCAAAACCGAAGTAATATGACCAAGAAAATCCTCTACTGCTCCAGAGGATAAAAGGGAGAGAAGCATGTTACAACCCAGCTGAAAGGAAAAAATAAGTTGTAGCTAATGAAGAATATTGTTGACATGAGGTGATCAACACAAATCAGTTACCCCCGTTGTTAGTCAGCTCTAGCAGAAATTCATCATGAGAAATTCACCAGGATGTATGAAAAGGTGTGAAGTATACTACTTCACACACCACGTGCAGCCAGGTCCGGAACATTATGAACAGGTCAGAGCTCCACTCTGCCCATACAGGACAAGCTCCACTTGCTCCCTCTTCAATCCAAGCTTTACCATTCCTATGCATTTCTTTTGTGTGGGTTTGTTTGTTTGTTTATTTATTTATTTAAGGAAGTACTGGGATGGGAACTCAGGGCTCCCCTCCTGTTAGGCAGGCACTCGACCACTTGAGTCACATCTCCAGTCCTTTTTGTGTTTTGGAAACAGGGTCCCACTTTTTGCCCAGGCTGGCCTGGACCACGAGCCTCCTACTTTATGCTTCCCACTACAGGTGGTCTGACTGACACATACCACTCCGTTGCAGCATTTTTCTGTTGAGATGGGGTTTGGTGTAACTTTTTTTTTGCCCAGGCTGGCCTCTAACCTCAATCATTGCAATCTTAGCCTCCCAAGTAGCTAGTACTACAGGCATGAGCCACCAGTACCAGCTCACGTTTTTTTTTTAAACTTACGTGTACATGGCTCTATATTTGATTTCTATAATTCACTCATATGAAAAACAGCTAGAACTCTTCCATTTTTTCACTGAATTGTTCAGGGAATTTCAATTGAATTACTAGATTGTATTATACTGCAGAATTCAGCTATTTAAATAGCTAATTAAATTATTTAATAGCTCCAAGTCACCCATGCAGGCTCCTTCTGCTGGCCACCCAAACTGTGGCCAACACGCTGTTTGCAGCATGCTTACTTCCCAAACCTCTTCTTGTACAAGTGTGGGCTTGGAGGGCAGATGAACTTAAACTCGACTGGACTTCTAAGGTGACTGAACCAACTAGATACCATCTCACGTGGTGATCTCTGCAAACATGTGGTGGTTATGGGTGCTGAGCTTCAACAGCTTTAGATGATTTTTACTTGGTACGGTGCAAGACTGTCCATATATATAAAAGAGCAGGGCCACTGGGGGCCAGTGTCTCACGCCTGTGATTCTAGCTACTCAAGAGGCAGAGAGCAGGAGGATCACTGTTCAAAGCCAGCCCTGGGGAATTAGTTTGTGAGATCCTACCTCAAAAACCCATCACTAAAAAGGACTGGTGGAGGTGGCTCAAGTGGTAAAAGTGCCTGCATAGCGAGTGTGAGGCCCTGAGTTCAAACTGCAGTGCCACCAAGAAAGAAAAAAAGAGCAGTGCCCTATTGATGACACACATGGAAATGACATTGACTCTAACATGGCACCTCTAGGTACTCAGGCCCAGGAATCTCACTGATAGCAAGAGTCCCAAGCATTTCTACTGTATATATCGGGATTTTTGTGGCATACCAGTGTAGGACATAACTCTGAAGATTCCTAGCCTAGCAGTCTTCTGCATAGTAAACTAACTACAGAAAACTTTCCTGCAGGCAGAATGCTTAAAAACATAATGCTTCCATGTTCGAAAACAGATTCTCATGCCTAGCCTAATGGGGCAGTAAAACCAGGTCTTCCCATTAAGCAACCCTAAAACTGGGCAAAATACACACAACTATTTTAGATACTGTGGTCCCCAAGTAAGAGAAACAAAGTGAACCTGGCCTTCTATTGGAAACCACTTGCCAAACTGTGACAAGGCAGGGGTCCCAGAGAGAGCAGATAGCCGAACAGCTGGAGGAGACAGACTGTGAGCCAGGGAGCAGGAAAGTTGGAGGCAGAGCTCCCAAGAGCAGGGAGCTTCCCACAGCAAGAGCTCCAGAAAGCTGCAGGGAGGTACCCTGCAGTCTCCAGCTACAAACCTCTGGGAGGCAGAACCCCAGGGAAAACCAACCCTTAAGAGATAGAGCCTCAAGAGCCACCTAAGCTCAGAGAGGGTAAACAGAAGCTCCAGGTCTCACCTTTGGTAGTCCAAAGGGTCACCGAGCCTCTGAGCCATTCAGCATATACCACAGGAGAAAGGCTGAGTATTACTAGCCCTGATGTAAAATGTACACAAACCATCCTAACAAACTTGAAAACAGCCTCAAAAGGATCAACTGATTCATAAAGGCATGAACTGCCTACTATAAAAAACAAACAAACAAAAAAAACGGTCACAGCCTTTTTTTAAAGACAGTCAAGTTAAACCCAGGTACCCAACAAAGTAGTGGGAGAAGGGCTGGGGGTGTGGCTCAGGGTAAAGCACTTGCCTACCATGGGCAAGGCTGTGGGTTTGATCCCCTAACACCTCAAAAACAAAACAAATACAAAGTGCTGGGGGGAAAACCTTGTCAACTTACATTTCTAGTCATCAAAATCCTTCCACAAAAGCCAAATAAAAACATTTTCAGACAAACAAAAGCTGAGCAACTTTGTCCCTAGCAGACCTACCCTAAAAACAAATGAGAGCAAGTTCTTCCAGCTGAGGGAAGAACAGTGTCCCGTACCTTTTCCTACAAAGGGACAACAGCCTGCCACTGCCCGCCTGCCTTTCACCCGAGGCTGTACCCCTCTGTTAAATGACCCCTCCCTCCTTCCTTCCTCATCCCCACCAGGCATTGTGGCTTCCTAAATCTCCTGCCCCTGTTTTCCTTGCTCTTACCCTCCCATTTCCATTGGTTTTCTCTTGCCTCTCACAGGCCTAAACCTGCATTCTTCTTAGAGCAGTTCTCCATCAACCAACAGCTACTGGATTACCAAGGCCTCCCACCCTGTTCACAGCCCCATGTGGAGCTGCTGGCATTTAGGGTCGGTTCACTACTCCTTTCCCTGGACTTCGGCTCCATCCACACACTCCTATAACTTAGGAACTTTTGTGTTTCACGTACAAGGCCCCTCTGTAGCATTTCGTGTTGATCTCACTCACCCATTCACAGTCCTTTCCTTGTTTTCACAACAGTGCTCTTTCCTATGGTCTTTTGCAGCCATTCCCCAATCATAGCATAGAGATGTGCTCAGTTGCCCATTCTCTAGCCCTTCAGGTAGCCAGAGCTCCTGGGCCTGCTGGCTACAACTCCACTGTGCATGAGCTGACAAAGCCAGCAAGCCACTGTCCTAGGCGCCACCTCAGCTCTCCTGACACTTTCTAACACAGTGGTCTCATTTGGCCAACCATTCCCTGAAGGCAATGAATCTGCAATCTCCAGGCATGCCAGGAACATCTAGCTAACCACCTCTTCTTGGATGACACTTTAAACTCAGAATGTCCAGTACTGAACCCATGATCTACCTATCTGCTTCTTCTCATGCAAAGTCATCTTTACTTGCCTAGGCCACGTATCAGGAATCCGTAATTCTTCTATCTCCATTAGTACTGCTACAGAATCAACTTCTGAGTCTTATTTATTTTGCTTTTTTACTATCACATTTGACTCTCCTTATCTTCACACTGACAACTAGTTCCAAGTCTTTGAAATTCTGTTGATTGTGTCAGATTTTCATTAGTTTCCAAAGAAAACACATAGTGCCTTCCCCATCTATGGTACCACCTAGTGGCTGTAGAGAGGAAGGCCATGGACCTGAAATAGCCAAGGATTCATATGTTTTGGATGTGGAAGGTACCCCTTCTAAGCAGTAGCTATGTGTCCCCACATTTCTTCCTCCATCACTGAGCCAGCAATGCCCTAGAAGGCTGCACAATCAGCCTGGCCCTGAGTCACACCTGACCGAAGACAGCCACAAAGCACTAGCAAGGAATAAGACTTGGCTACTGAGAACAAACCAAATCGAACAAACCAGAATTCACCATCCAAACCAACATCTACACTACCTAGGAAAGAAAATACAAAAGTGTTTGTGTTCAGTCAATTAAATTTACAAATATATTTTGTTTTGTAATACAATTAAGACTTCAAGCCAGGCATGATGGTACTATCCCTGCAATCAACACTCAGGAGGCCAAAGTCTTAAAAACAACAACAACAAAAAAAAGACTTTAAACCAGATCTTTCTGGTAACACTGAATAAGCTGGTTTGGGAAAGGCAACACTATGCCAGGCATGGTGGCACTGCATACATACCTGTAATCCTGGCACTTGGGAGGAGGCTGAAGCAGGAAGATCATGAGTTTGGGGCCAGCCTGGGCTACATGGTGAGACCCTGACTAAAAAAAAAAAAAAAAAAAAAAAAATTCAAAAGTAGAATTTGAGAGAAAAACCCCCCCACCACATTATAAGAAAAATTCAATGTGTGGGTGGAGTGAGAACTGTTACCAGTCAGTTCTATATTAATACAATGAAATGTGTAAGGCAGGTTAACTTTATAAAGTTAGGTCTGTGCAGCTCACAGTTTGAGGTTCTAAGGCTATATTACCTGGTGATGGCCTTCTTCCTAATAGAGTTCCAAGGTGGGCATAGGGTATCACGTGGCAACACGTAAGGAGTTTTTATAGGTCCCTGTGAGTCTATCTGGTCTCTCTCCCTTTTCTTATAAAGCCACCAGGACTCAATCATGGGTGTTCACCCTAATAACCTTATCTAACAATAGTCACATTTAAAAACACCATAGCTGGATTATGTTTCTACCTTCTTAATATCTTAAAATGGGGATCAAATTTCAACACATGAAGCCTCAGCCTCAAGCCACATCCAAACTGTAGCTGTAGCAATGGTACATTCTGAAGGGTCCACCTATCCTGCCCCAGCAGTACTTCTTGAGACTGAGGACATGGTTTATTTGTAAAGTGCCCATGGGACAGACTCAGAGAGCACCTGTATCCTTGTTGGTACACTTGAACA